GCCAAAGTGTACAGTGTGTGAGAGGACTCACCAGACACAGAGTGGGGAGTACAACAGGAAGATCCACTGAAATCCACTGCTGAGGGGAGCAGCAGGGAGACAGAAGAGTCTGCTCTGCCTTGGGAGTCAACTCCTGGCCGGGATCAAACTCAGGTCACAGTGGTTGGCATAGCTTGACAGTGCTGAGACTTTAACCCCTGTACCACCAGGGAAGCACTAAAAGGATTTCTCTTTTGATGAAAAAATTACAGTTCACCTGTTCCTCATTGTATTTTATTCTAATGTTCAGATTTTCCACAATGTACACAACTCCTTTTCAGTTTCAGAACCAGCCAACCAAAGCTAATAAAAAATTATTGCAATCAGTGGTTCAATTAGCCCCTGTTCCTTGGCAGGTGAAAAGTAACCATAGAATATTTTTTAAAACCAGTCTTAAGAATTCTGTTGTGGTGGGCCTCCCTGGTGGTACAAGGGGTTAGGACGCAGCCTGTGGAGCTGTCTACAGCCACTGAAGCACAGTTCAATCCCCATCCAGGGAGCTACCCACGTGGCACAGCAGACTCTCCTGGTTCCCCACTGCTCCCCGCAGCAGTGATTTCAGTCAATCTGCCTGCTCTGTTCCCCACTCTGTCTCTGGTGAATCCTCTCACCCCCCCCTACACACACACACACACACTACTGGCCTGTACCCACAGATCTTGTATGCATAAATAATAAAGCTTTAAAAAAAGCATTCTGTTGTGGTTATGTAGCAGAGTGGTGCAGGAAAAGGGGAAGTTCCAGGTCTTGCCCCACCCAAAGGAGGGTGGAGCTGAGCAGGGAGGACAAAAGCTGGACAGTAGACTGGAGAAGGAAGGAAGCAGTGTGGAGAGCAAGATGGAGACCTGGAGGAGACACATGGAGCAAGGAGACATGTGAAGAAACTGTGCTTGCCTTTTGGTCGTCGACTGGGTGAAACAGATGTGGATGAGAGACCCATGGGGAGGTGACAATGGCGGTTTTTGTCTTGATTTTGATTTTGTTCTTTTCCTCCCAGACTTGTCTGGCTATTTCTGACCCTTTCCTATGGGTCCCCCTGGAAGGTGCTTTGTGGCAGCTTTTGGGCCTGCTCTGGGCCAATCCCATTTGGCTGGACTTTTGCACAGAGGGATTGGTAACTCTGGGTGATTAATTTAGAAATTATATTCTTTGTCTTTTCTGTATTGTTTACCAATTGTATTAAATTTCCTTTCCATTAAAGGTGTTAAGTTTTGTCTTGATGTGGCAGATGGCAGAACCTATATAGAGCAGGCAGATTTGGGGGTTCTGGGTGCCCCTCTCCCTGCCCTGTAACAGTTATAAAAGATTTTTGGGTGAAAATATGGCATTCCTGATAGTAAAGCAAGGGTGGACAGAGCAGCTGCATGTCAGTTAATGTCAAGCTCACCTCGTTTTGTTTGTGTTTTGTTTTCTGTTTTATTACTGAGGGGTGATGGATTATTGGAATATAAAAATTTAGAAAGGAAGATACTGTAAGGACAATTTTAAGTCTTTATTAACCCAACTATGGAAGGTTCCAGCAATCTAAGGTGGGGTCAGAAAAGATGATCAGCCAGAGGTGGGGGCAGAGAGGATTATCAAACTTAGAAGACCAACCCATTCTGACACCAACGCAATAATTTCCGCAATAATTTCATCAAGGAACCTTATGAAATAATGCCCCTTACCCTGACAAAATGCAGCTTTTTTTCTTTCAGAAACCTGTGTCTATGCAGACATCTCTCTTTGCTATTCTTTTTTCCTCAATAAACTTGATGCGTCCTGATGAAAGGGAACATTACTCAATTATTTGTCAGAGGGATCCAAGAAACCCCCCTATACTGAGCCCCATCACCTGAATTCCATCAAGGGGTTTTCAATTTTTAGTTTGAACTGAGGCTCCTACTCATTTGTTGGTCCAAATGAACACATTTTACCCTTTTTCAATTTTTAAAATATTTATTGTGCTTAATCAACAATGTTCATATAGTTATAGGTAAAAATAAAAAATGGTGAAAATAATAAGGCATTAATTCAAAGTCCAGACCTTCCAGCTTTCAATACAAGATGTCTGGGGCCTCTCTCATGGCGCAAGGGGGTAAGTCTCAGCACTACCAAGCTACCAACAGCCACTGTGGCATGCGTTCCATGCCCAGCCTGGGAGATGGCCCACATGGTATACAATACCTCTCCAGTCTCGCCCACTGCTAACCTCAGCAGAGTATCTCTGCATCTCTGGCCTACAACCCCATCTTGTATGCATAAATAAATAAAAATTTTACAAAATAAACAAGTACAAGAGGCCTGAATCTTGTACAAAATTATGGAAGAAAAAGACAAAATTTTGAATGCCCTAGCACCTCCCCCAGCAGGTGCCAGGGCTGCGCCTCTGCCTGCACTGAGTTGGGAGAGAGAGGAGCCAACAGGCCAGAGACCCCCCGCTCTGACAAAATGGAAGGTTCTATGCTCATCAGGCAGGCCCAGGGGCGGGGAAGATAGTTTTTCCTCTAATACCTGAGCCTCCGTTTCCTTATCTGTACAAAGGAAAGTATCCCCTCGACTAGAGAGGCAGACACCACCCTTCACCTGTTGTTGCTGAGCGCCCACTGTCTGCTGGATGAGGACACGGGCTGAGTCAAGCCCACAGCTCAGAGCACCCTCAGTAGCAATCAGGGACACAGGGAACCTCAACAGACCCACAAGAATTGTGACAGGGAGCTTGAGACGCCACAGCCTTCCCTGGAAGGGACACCTGACACGCTCCTGGCCGAGGGGGCGGCCAGCAGGGCTGCTGCGGAATGACCCTTGACACGGACTCGGTCAGGTGAATGGGGAAGCCAGAGAGAAGGAGGTTGTCAGAGAGGGGCCGCGGGCCTGAGACAGCAGGAGCAGATGGCAAGACTCTCATCAGCTTGTCTGGAGGCTTGGACTTTAGCCTGAGCGCGGACAGTGGGAGCCACTGAAGAGATTTTTGAGGCTGTAGATAAATGACGTGACAAACAGGTTGTCTTGTGAGGGCAGCAAGGACCGAGGGAAGGTCTGCAGACAGCCCTCGGGACACATCTGGTTCCTCCCTTTCCTCTCCCCAGGGTGGCAAAGATAGGAGGACGTGAACCAACCTGCCCAGGACAGCAGCAAAGTGCCCTTGCTCGCCAGGTACAAATTCAGACCCCAGGCCCAGCTTCAGAAAGGACCATCCGTGGATCAGTGGGTCTGGCCCTGCCTTGTCCAGTGGCGGGTGACCAGCCCGCAATCGAGGACTGTGGATTTTACAGACACACATGACCAGAGACGTGGCTCTAACTTCATTATCAACTTCATGTTTTCCAGTTTCACATTTTGAATTTCCTGACTTAATTCCTCTCCTGATTCCTTTATAAAGCATGCAAGTAAGTCACTTAAGTGCAACATTTTCTCTGGTGGCACCATGAAGCAGGTGACAAAGGGATGATCTTACTGAGCGTTCCATCCGCAGAAAGGTGGAAGAATATCCTAGTATTATACGATCAATAACTGGTCATCTATTATATGATGAAATGCCTTTGCCTTTCAATCTGAAATATTCCTTCTTCATCCGGAGAACCGACCTACTTTGTCCTTTTAGAATTTATAGAAAATAACACCTAAGTTTTTTATTAACACTCTGTTTGATGAATGTTCCATAATTGGGAAAAAGTAACATGCCAAGATGGGACATCCTATTTGTATACAATTTACAGATTCAGTGCCATTTCGATGAAACTTTAAATGGTGTTCTTCAACAAAATGGAACCAATACTGTTCAAATTCATATGGAATCACAAAACCTCAAGTAGCTTAAGTTCTCCTGACTGAAAGATAGGAATCATGGAGGCCTGACACTCCCAGACAGCTGACAACACGACAAAGCTATTCTCATAAAAACTGTGTTGGGACAAAACCAGACACAGAGACCAATGGAATCAAATTTAAGCCCAGAAATAAAACCACCCATATATGGTGAACTAACCTATGACAGAGGAGCAAAGAATATACATTGGAAAAAATAGCCTCTTCCATAAATAATGCTGGGGAAACTGGATTGCAACATGCAAAAGAATGAAACTAGACCACGACCTCACACCACACACAAACCAACTCCAGTGGATGAAAGACTTGCATGTGAAACCTGGCACCATAGAATACACAGAACAGAACATAGGCCAACACTCAATGACACGATCCTCAGAAACGTCTGTGAGGAGTGGTCTCAGAAGCAAAGAAACCAGGGAGAATGTAGATAGATGGGGCTACAGCAAGCGACAGTCATCAACACAGAGACACCCGCTGCATGAGGGAAAATATCAGCACACCACACCGCATAACAGCTAAGGGACTGATATCAAAGATCTACAAAGAGCTTACACAACTCAACGAAAACAAACAACCCAGTCAAAGAAAAATGCCAGAAGTAAAAAGACACTTTGTCAAAGAAGAAATGCAAATGGCCAGCAGGCACAGAAAAGATGTTCAGCATCACTGATATCAGGGAAACGCAAATCAAAACCACAATGAGCTGCCACCTCACTCCACTGAGAAGGCTCCACATTTAAAAAGAGAAATTGGAAACAACAAATGCTGGAGAAGTGGCAGAGAAAAAGGAGCCTCTGACACCACCAGTGGGCGTGCAAACTGGTCCAGCCACTATGGGCAGCTGTGTGGAGGGTCCTCAGAACACTGAAAATGGGTCTACACATGATCCGGCTTTCCACTCCTAGGAATCCACCAAAGGGACAAAAAAAAAACCAGGAAACCCGAACTGCTGTGTTCATTGCAGCCCTATTTATAATAGCTGTGACATGGAAACAACTCATGCCAGAAAACAGATGAATGGATCAAAACGTTGTGGTACAGTTACTGCTGCACCTCCCCCTGCAGTGACCTTTAGGGCTAATGGCTGTTGCCATGGTCCCTGAGGTCCGCCTTGGGCAAGGAACCATGCGCGCAGGGGGAGAACAGCAAACTCCCTAAGATGCAGAGAAGCCGAATACCTGCCAAGAGATAACAACTACCAGAAGCCGCCACAAAGACTTAAAAGGGATGCTGACCACACGGAACCTTATCTCGCTTTCTCAAGGCCCACAAACTTTATTCTGCTACAACTGTCTTTCTAAAATCTTTCCTTTTTCTGGTCATTGATTGCTGATTAAAAAACATACGTAATTTAATAATTAGGCTAATCCAAATGAAACATTACTAAACACTGTGTTATAATAGAATTGTTGGTTTAATAATCTTTCTATTATGTGCTTGACTTTAGTACCTTTGATATTAACTGCATTATAAAATAAATTCACCCATGACAATTAATTATGAGTAAAAATGAGTAGGTAGTAGTAGTAGTAGTTAGTACAACAAGAATATAATTATATAGAACAAAAGAAAGAGTTAATAGCCTGTCTACTTAGGAATGCGGCTAGGTCCAGATGTATTTTGGACATAGATCACTGCCCTGTAAATGAAAAGCTAAACCTATGAGCAAGCTGATTTCGTTGATGTTCACTGTTCCTATGCTTTTAGAAAACATATATATACTGATCACAAACTCAAATTAAATTGCACTCAGATTTACACTCTCTCTTGAAGTGTATCTGTTTGTCATTTCTTTCGCCGACTCCCTGACCACCCTGCGCGCTTCTCTCAACCCTGAGACGGCCTCATCATCTACTGCTGTGCTGGTCAGCGGCAGTTACACCACGGAATATTGCTCAGCAATCAAAAAGTCATGCCACTGGTGGCAAAAGAGATGGAGCTGCAAGGGATGATGCTAGCCACAATAAGGCAGGAGAAAGATAAATATCAGGTGGTTTCACTTACATGCGAAAAGTAGAGAAACTGAACAAAAGGTAGAGAAAAAGACAACCCTAGCAGGCTGACCAAGACCTGAGGCACCCAGTGGGGAGGGGGAGGGAGGGGGTGAACAGAGGGGAGGGAAAAGCACAAGGGATTATGGTGATGGGGCATGGGGGCTATTTTGGTGGGAGCACTATGGGGACCACCCCTGAGGGGAGACACCAATAACTAAAAAAATGAACAACGATGCAAGAAAAGAAAAAAAAAAGAGAGATGGTCTTTAAGGACAGGGAAGACCCTAAGACAATATAAATAAATAAATGCTCTAAAGGGGGTCTCACCTGAGCACTGCTGGAGACACTGCCGAGGCATCCCCTCATCCGTTGTTCTAGATCTCAAGGAATTGTCTCTGGCCTGTGCAGCAAGTAAGCCTGCTGTGTGTGAATAATTAGAAAAATGCTATTTTTATTTTTAAAGATTTATTTATTTATACAAGAACTGGGGTACAGGCCAGGGGTGCGGGGGTGAGAGGAGTCACCAGAGAGAGAGTGGAGAGCAGAACTGGTGGATGGATTGAAATCCAGGGCTGAGGGGGACAGCGGGGAGACGGGGAGGTCTGCTGCGCCCTGAGGGCTGCTCCTGACCCGCGGGGGTGGACCCGTCCTGCAGGGCTGGCCAGAGCTGGGGATCTCCATCTGTACCCCCCCGCCCCCCAGGAAGCCCATGAATATGACCTGAAATGGTCCCCAGTTCTCACCCGGAAGCTGAGCACGATCTGAGCTGTAGAGAGAGGGCGCCGCCATGGGGATCACGATGGAGAGACCTCGCTCAGGGCAGCAACCTCCTGTCCCAGGACGGTGCGGGGGCTCCTGACCCCAGCCCCCCCCCCGCATGGGCAGCAGCTGCCGGCCCTGTCCCGGTGCCGCCCCCCGGCCAGGGCCTCTCTACCCAGCGGCCCTCAGCAGAGGCAGCGCCACTCAAGGCCCCACCCCGCCTGGAACCCTGGATATCCAGTTGCTGCATCCCCAGGACTCCCCAAACCCTCTGAGCACCCCCTGGCCCTGGCCACACTCACCGGGGGCTAGAGGGTCACCTGCACCCTCCGCTCGCACTAACAGCCCCAGAAGCAGCCTGGGCGGAGGGGCAAGGTCACTTGTCAGGGAGGCTACCCCAATCTAGCCACAGGCAGACAGTGCGCCCACAGCCAGGAAATGCAAATAGGCCCCCCCAGTCACCTCAACACGCGCGCAAGCCCCGGGCAACCCGCATCCCTGATGGGGAAAAGCCCGCACCTGCCCCAGCTGACCTGAGAAACCCCAGACTCAGCCCAAAGGTGAGCCAGGCCCCACTCACCCACTGTGAAGGCGCAAAAGTGACAATTTCAGAACCATGGGTAGGGGCCACCAGAAACTCCCTAGCCCCTCTACTCCCTGTCTTCTCAGTATGTGCTTCACAACGCGCGCAAGCCCTGGAAAACCCACATCCCTGATGGAGAAAAGCCTGCACCTGCGGGAAAAGCCCACAACACTCCTTACCACAGTATTTCACCTCAAATTTTTCTCCACAGAGGCCTGTCTTCTCGCAGGAATCTGCTTCCAAGGGTGTCACTTCTCAGATTTTTCTCCTCAACACTCCTTACTACAGTATTTGCCCTCAGATTTTCTCTTCAGAGGCCTGTCTTCTCCTCAGAATCTGCTTCCCAACGTGTTACTTATGGTCAGATATCTCCTCTACACTCCTAACTGCAGTATTTCTCCTCAGTTTCTTCTCCTCAGAGGTCCGTCTTCTCAGTATTTGCTTCACAACGTGTCATTACGCCTCAGACACTTCTCCTCAATAATCCTTATTGCAGTATTTCTCCTCAGATTTTTCTCCACTAGGCATGTCTTCTTGTCAGGATCTGATTCCAAGAGTGTCATTTCTCCTCAGATATTTCTCCTCAACAAGAATTACTGCAGCATTTCTCCTCAAATTTTTCTCCTCAGAGTCCTGTCTTCTCCTCAGAATCTGCTTCCCAACATGTCATTTCTCCTCAGATATTCCTCCTCAACACTCCTTACTGCAGTAATTCCCCTCAGATTTTTCTCCTCAGAGGCCTGTCTTCTCCTCAGAATCTGCTTCCCAATGTGTCATTTCTCCTCAGATAATTCTCCGCAACACTCCTTACTACAGTATTTCTCCTCAGACTTTTCTCCTCAGAGGCCTATCTTCTCCTCAGAATCTGCTTCCCAATGTGTCATTTCTCCTCAGATATTCCTCCTCAACACTCCTTACTGCAGTATTTCTCCTCAGATTTTTCTCCTCAGAGGCCTGTCTTCTCCTCAGAACCTGCTTCCCACGGGGTCATTTCTCCTCAGATATTTCTCCTCAACACTCCTTACTGCAGTATTTCTCCTCAGATTTTTCTCCTCAGAGGCCTGTCTTCTCCTCAGAATCTGCTTCCCAATGTGTCATTTCTCCTCAGATATTTCTCCGCAACACTCCTTACTGCAGTATTTCTCCTCACTTTTTGCTCCTCAGAGGCCTGTCTTCTCCTCAGAATCTGCTTCCCAACATGTCATTTCTCCTCAGATATTCCTCCTCAACACTCCTTACTGCAGTATTTCCCCTCAGATTTTTCTCCTCAGAGGACTGTCTTCTCCTCAGAATCTGCTTCCCAATGTGCCATTTCTCCTCAGATATTCCTCCGCGACACTCCTTACTGCAGTATTTCTCCTCAGATTTTTCTCCTCAGAGGCCCATCTTCTCCTCAGAACCTGCTTCCCATGGGGTCATTTCTCCTCAGATATTTCTCCTCAACACTCCTTACTACAGTATTTCTCCTCAGATTTTTCTCCTCAGAGGCCTGTCTTCTCCTCAGATCCTGCTTCCCACGGTGTCATTTCTCCTCAGATTTTTCTCCTCAACAAGAATTACTGCAGTATTTCTCCTCACTTTTTTCTCCTCAGAGGCCTGTCTTCTCCTCAGAATCTGCTTCCCAACATGTCATTTCTCCTCAGATGTTCCTCCTCAACACTCCTTACTGCAGTATTTCTCCTCACTTTTTTCTCCTCAGTGCCCTGTCTTCTCCTCAGTTTGTGCTTCCCAATATGTCATGTCTCACCTGATATTTCTCCGCAACACTCCTTACTGCAGTAATTCCCCTCAGATTTTTCTCCTCAGAGGCCTGTCTTCTCCTCAGAATCTGCTTCCCAGGGGGTCATTTCTCCTCAGATATTTCTCCTCAACACTCCTTACTACAGTATTTCTCCTCAGATTATCTCCTCAGAGGCCCGTCTTCTCCTTAGAATCTGCTTCCCAGGGGGTCATTTCTCCTCAGATATTCCTCCTCAACACTCCTTACTGCAGTATTTCTCCTCACTTTTTTCTCCTCAGAGGTCTGTCTTCTCAGTATTTGTTTCACAATGTGTCATTACTCCTCAGACACTTCTCCTCAATAATCCTTACTGCAGTATTTCTCCTCAGATTTTTCTTCACTAGGACTGTCTTCTCGTCAGTATCTGATTTCAAGGGTGTCATTTCTCCTCAGTTATTCCTCCTCAACAAGAATGATTGCAGTATTTCTCCTCAGATTTTTCTCCTCAGAGGCCTTTCTTCTCAGAATCTGCTTCCCAACGTGTCATTTCTCCTCAGATATATCTCCTCAACACTTCTTACTACATTATTTCTTCTCAGTTTTTCCTCCTCAGAAGCCTGTCTTCTCCTCAGTATGTGCTTCCCAACGTGTCATTTCTCCCTAGGTACTTCTCCTCAACACTCCTTACTACAGTATTTCTCCTCAGAGGTCTGTCTTCTCCTCAGAATCTCCTTCCTAGCATGTCATTTTTCCTCAGATATTTCTCTTCAACACTCCTTACTGCAGTATTTCTCCTCAGTTTTTTTCCACAGAAGCCTGTCTTCTCTTCAGTATGTGCTTCCCAAAGTGTCATTTCTTCTCAGATACTTCTCAACAATCCTTACTGCAGTATTTCTACTCAGATTTTTTCCTCAGAGGCCTGTCTTCTCCTCAGAATCTGCTTCCTAGGGGGCCATTTCTCCTCAGGTACTTCTCAACACTGCTTACTGGAGTATTTCTCCTCAGAGACCTGTCTTCTCCTCGGAATTTGCTTCCCAACTTGTCATTTATCATCAGATATTTCTCCTCTGCACTCCTACTAAAGTATTTCTCCTCACTTTTTGCTCCTCAGAGGCCTGTGTTCTCACTATGTGCTTCACAATGTGTCATTACTCCTCAGATACTTCTCCTCAACACTCCTTACTGCAGTATTTCTCCTCAGATTTTGCTCCTCAGAGGCCTGTCTTCTCCTCAGAATCTGATTCCAAGGGTGTCATTTCTCTCAGATATTTCTCCTCAACACCACTTACTGCAGTATTTCTCCTCAGATTTTCTCGTCAGAGGCCTGTCTTCTCCTCAGAATCTGCTTCCCAACATGTCATATCTCCTCAGATAATTCTCCTCAACACTCCTTTCTACAGTATTTCTCCTCAGTTTTTTCTCCTCAGAGGCCTATCTTCTCCTCAGAATCTACATCCCAGGGTGTCATTTCTTATCAGATATTCCTAGTTCATTGCCTTTGCAAAGAGAAATAGAGAACACAATAGAATGAAAATCCTGTATTCCAAGTCAACTGTCACAGATCAACATAAATCTAGTGTCCTGCCAAACAGAACTCGTTCATTTTATGTCTCATCCTAGAAATTGACTATTTCAGCAGAGGTTCCATCACTGACAGGAGAGATGGTGGTGTCAGATTTATATAGATTCTTTTGTGGTAGTTCAACAGTTGTTTTATTTCTGCATAAACTTGTAAACAGTACAAGGTCAGAAGTTTCGTAAATGAAAAGGGTGCTAAGGCTCAAGGAAAAGGAAGAAAAAAAAATAAGAATAGCAAGAGGCATTCCAGGAACGAAAGAATACCAAGAATATTTAACTCCCATTTTTAAAAAGGGGGATTTTATTTTTGTTAAAAAGGTACCCTTGAAATGAATTTTGTCCACTGTCAATGAAAGGAAGCCACTGACACAGAGCAGACTGGTATTGCCATATCAATCCATGACCATTATTGTTTCTGACACGGTGACTTTCAAGGTAGCAACAATGGCAACAATGGTGTTCTAGTCTCAACCCATTTAAGCAATGTTGAAATGGAACTGCACACAGGCCCCACAAAATGGGCATCCTCACCAACATTTCCACCCCAGACGTGAGGACACTCGAGCCTTCCCCATTCATCTTAAATTTTTTACATTGTCACCATCTTCCGAAGAAACGTGAGCTATTTACCTGTAGCTCACTTTGAATTTCCACACCGTCATGATGCATTGGGACCATTGGGTGGGTGTCACCACCGTGAGTCCCATCCTGCCCTGGCCAGGCTCCCGTAAGACTTGGAGTGAAGTCCCAGCCTGGGCCTGCGGGGTGCGGGGGGGATGGTTAAGGGGGGAGTGGGGCCAGCAGGGGTGGGGGCAGGAACCTGGTCCTGCAGGACCCAGCGGGGCAGCACCCTCTGCACTTCCATCTGGGCAGTAGGGGAGCCCAGAGGGAGGGGAGAGTGAGGAGCATCTCCTGTGGGCAGCCGATGGCAGAGTGGGGGGCACTGGTCGGGAGGACCCAGAGGAGGGAGGGCTGGATGTGGAAAACCGCCAGGCGCTGGCAGGTTGTATTGTGGGCATGGAGGAGACCAGAGGTCCAGGTTCACTCCTGAGCAACCCATTGGGTCAGAACCCGCACTGTGGAGGGGGGCCCAGGAGACCCACCTGCGCGTGAAGCTGTGCTCTGAGCGCTCTGAGCGGAGGACCCAATGGAACAAGGTAAAAATGCACCGCGCTCCACCCCGGAGCTCTCCCTGCAGCTTTGCCCACCACACCCGGGTCCCGCTGGAGCTGGTCACCGCCTGGGACAGAAGCTGCAAAGACTCTCTGAGCACATGCACCCTCCCCATGGCTGGAAGCCCAGCCCTGGGGGTATAACAACTGCACCCTCTCCTCACTGCCCACAGGGATGAGCGCCTGCCTGGCAGGGCCATTCCAGGAGGCCCCTGACTGCTGAGAGAGAGGCGGGCAGGGCTGCCCCAGCACCTCCCCCCAGCAGGCACCAGAGCTGTGCCTCTGCCTGCACCGACTTGGGGAGAGAGAGGAGCCGACAGGCCAGAGCCCAGAGACCCCCCGCTCTGACAAAATGGAAGGTTCTAAGCTCATCAGGGAGGCCTGGAGGTGGGGAAGATAGTTTTTCCTCTAATACCTGCGCCTCCATTTCCTTATCTGTACAAAGGAAAGTATCCCTCGACTTGAGAGGCAGACACCACCCCTTCACCTGTTGTTGCTGAGCGCCCACTGTCTGCTGGACAAGGACACGGGCTGAGCTGAGCCCACAGCTTGGAGCACCCTCAGGAGCAATCGGGGACAATGCAGGATGCTGCTGAAGCACAAGATCCTGGCCTTCTTATTGATCCACAGCATCGGTTGTAAGGGTGAGGAGCAAAAGAAAGGGGAAGGAGATTATGGGATAGGATATGAAAGAAAGGGGAAGAATGTAGAAGATCAGGGATTGTGAGTCTGCCCTCCAGGCACTTCTCCTCTACTGGATGACTCTGTATTGTCATGGAGGTCACACCCTAATCCCCAGCCAAGGTTCTAATCTTATCAACAAGGCTTCCACTGATCAGCTTCTGGGGTCCTTTGTTATGCATTGGTCCTCAGGTCCCCAGGCGTTCCTGGTCCTACCTCGTGATGCATAGCCTTCCCAGCGTAATCCGGCTTTGTGCTCTTGTTTGATTTGAAAGGGCACCTTGAAGGGTTGGGCTCTGCATCTAACTGACCGGGCCATCTTGACCTTGCTTAGAACTATAGGTGACAAAATGGTGGCCAAACAATCCACTTAGGAGTGGCAGACCCACAAGGTATAACACTCCCAGACATCAAAGAATACTACAAAGCTGTTATAATGAAAACAGTATTAGAACAAAAACAGACACAGAGACCAATGGTGAACTAACCAATTGTTAGGGGGAAAGGATGTCCTGAGCTAATCCCATACAGGCTTTGTGGACTCCACCCCTACTCCAGACCAAAGCCATCAGGACACTGGGAAAGACAAATCCTGTCACCACCAAAGGGAAGGTGGCAGGGACCTGTGGGTGGAGTTAAGCAGCCAGGGTTGGGTATAAAAACCAAACACGTGGGCCTTGGGGGGGCTCACTCTCTGGCTCGCCTCCTGGCTTCACGGCTCCTGGCTTGCGGCCAGCTCTCAGAGTACCATTTGGGATTCCAGATTGGCGGATTGGGTAGGATGCATTTAAAACTTTGTCTCCCATTTTTCTCCCTGAGTTGTACATTTCCTCATTTGCCCTTCCCTTGTAAATAAACCTTTTATTAACCTTTCGTGTGTGCCTGCAGTAGAGTATTGATAAGTCCTTTTAAACGCGCGGGTGAGGACCCACAGTCAGGCAACCCGTTTTGTATCGGGGCTGCCCTATAACACTATGACACAGGAACAAAGAATGTACATTGGAACAAGAATAGCCTCTTCCATAAATGGTGCTGGGGAAACTGGATTGCCACATGCAAAAGAATGAAACTAGACCACTACCTCATACCACACACAAACCAACTCAAGTGGATGAAAGATTTGCATGTGAAACCTGGCACCATAGAATACACAGAAGGGAACACAGCCAACACTCAATGACACTATCCTCAGAAACGTCTTTGAGGTTTCTTCTCCAGAAGCAAGGAAACCAGAGCGAATGTAGACAGCTGGGGCTAACCAGCAAGAGACGGTCAACACAGAGACACCCACCAAATGGGGGAAAATATCGGCACACCACACCGCATGACAGCTAAGGGACTGATATCAAAGATCTACAAAGAGCTTACATGACTGAACAAAAACAAACAACCCAGTCAAAAAAAATGCCAGAAGTAAAAAGACACTTTGCCAAAGAAGAAATGCAAATGGCCAGCAGGCACAGAAAAGACGTTCAGCATCACTGATATCAGGGAAATGCAAATCAAAACCACAATGAGCTGCCACCTCACTCCACTGAGAAGGCTCCACATTTAAACTGGAAACAACAAATGCTGGAGAAGTGGCAGAGAAAAAGGAGCCTCTGACACCGCCGGTGGGCACGCAAACTGGTCCAGCCACTATGGGCAGCTGTGTGGAGGGTCATCAGAACACTGAAAATGGGTCTACACATGATTCAGTGTCCCACTCCTAGGAATCTACCTAAGGGACAAAAACAAAAACAAACAGGAAACCTGAACTCCTCTGTTTATTGCAGCACCATTTACAGTAGCCATGACACGGAAACAACTCAAATGCCAGAAAATAGATGAATGGATCAAAACGTTGTGATATAATTACACCACAGAATATTACTCTGCAATCAAAAAAGAAAAATTCATGCCTCTTGTGGTGATATGGATGGAGCTGGAAGGGATGATGCTAGCCACAATAAGGCAGGAGAAAGATAAACATCAGTTTCCCTTACATGTGAAATAGAGAGAAACAGAACAAAAGGTAAAGAAAAAGACAACCCTAGCAGGCTGACCAAGACCTGAGGCATTCAGCAGGGAGGGGGAGGGAGGGGGTAAAAAGAGGGGAGGGAAGAGCACAAGGTGATGGGTCACGGGTGCTATGGTGGTGGGAGAACTATGGGGACCACCCCTGAGGGGAGAAACCAATAACTAGACAGAAATGAACAACTATGTAAGAAAAGAACAAAAGGGCCTCCCTGGTGGTGCAGGCGGTTGAGCGCAGCGCTGTGAAGCTGCCCGCAGCCTCTGCAGTGCTGGTTCGATCCCCACTGGCCGCAGAGATGCTCACATGTTGCAGCAGACCTCTCCTGTCTCCTCTGCTGCCCCTCAGCAGTGTATTTCAATCAGTCTGCCTGCTCTGCTCCCCGCTCTGTCTCTGGTGACGCCTCTCACCCTCCCGTGCATCTGGCCTATACCCCAGTTCTTGAATAAACAAACAAACAAATAAATAAATAAATAAATAAATCTTTAAAAAAAAAAAGAAGAAAAAAGAGATGCTCTTTAAGGAAAGGGAAGACCCTAAGACAATATAAATAAATAAATGCTCCTAAAGGCGGTCTCATCCTGAACAATGTTGCATGCACTGCCGATGCATCCTCTCCTCACCAATTGTTCTAGATCTCCAGGAATTTTCTCTGGTAGGTGCAGCAATTAAGCCTGCTGTGTGGGAATCATTAGAAAGAGGCTGTTTTTAACTGCAGTCTCTTACGAGTAGCAATCATGTTTGGGATGAGAGCCATTCTAAAACTATGAAGTCGTTCACGTTCAATATTAATGACAGCATCTTCAAGTGGGGCAATGCAACGTGAAAGTTTGGTTCTGTCTTGTTTTAGGCCAAAGCTCCTTCCTTATGGAGGACACCCAGCACCCAAGGACCTGTTCTGAGGATGGGTGGGGGCACCTACACGCCTTCCCTCCCCCTGGTCTCCAAGAGGATTACAATTACCCTCATTTTAAAACCTCCAGTTCAGTACAAAATACAAAGATTTGGGAGTCCAAATATATCTGGCCCTTGTGCTTATTTTTTGATCTCAGAGAAGTCACGGATCCCTTTTGGACCTCAGGGTCCACGACTACAGGGTAGAAATAATATCTCTATAGCATCATTAATGGAGATCATGTAACTACATCAATGAACTTGTTGCTCCAGCAGGTGCTCAATAAATGCCGATTCCTTTCTCCTTTCCAGAGAAATTCAACTTCTTTCCAAAGCGAGCATAACAGAGGGATTGGCAAGGAAGGAGGTAACCCCCCCTAACAACATCAGTTTAACACATTAAAAGGTAAAGTGCAGCCTCCCCCGCCCAGTGGCCTAGGGTCAAATCTCAGTGCTGTCACCACAATTGTCTGAGTTCAAGCCTGGCTGGGGAGCTACCCACATGGTGCAGCAGACCTCTCCTGTCTCGCCTGATGCTCCCCTCAGCAGTGTATCTCGGTAGATCTGCCTGTTCTACTCCCTACTGTGTCTCTGGTGAATCCTCTCACCCTCCCACACCTCTGGCCTGCACCCCAGTTCTTCTATGAAAAATAAACAAAGCTTTTAAAAATAAAAAAGATAAGGTGAATTATCTCCAAAATGTCCAGTTCCCACATGAGTCACTGTGGTTTACACAATCCCTGAAATAGGAGAAATCCTCTTAGCACCATCAATAGATAAAAGATCTCAAGAGCTTGGAAAAGGGCCCTTCAGCGTCTCACATACTCCCCATGAAGAAACTTTCCACCCCAACTGGTGACAGCGCCCAGCTGTCACTGCTGTGGGGTTTCTTGGGTCAGTCCTTCAGTGATGCAGAGAGGACCACTGCTTTCAATACACTGAATTGGTTAACAGTAACCCATTTTAGAAAACCAAAGACTTGTAGCCAGAGTGTGGCAGGCAGTGTGGCTCCTGGTCACTCAAGGCTCAGGAAAGTCTAGATTCTATTCAAGAGTTATTGTAAAGTTGCCTCATGAGGCAGTTTCCAGGGTCAAACCCCCTTCAAGGCTCTGAACATCACCTGCACGACAGGTAGTGATGCCTCAGCCCCCAGACGTGGGCCCAGGCCCAGCACTGGCAGCATCTCAGGCCCCGTGAGAAATGCAGAGCCCCAGGCGCCATGCAACCTACTGGGTCAGAACCTGCACCCCGGGAGACTGGGACTCGACTCTGCCCTCCTGCCTGCTGGACCTGGCATGGGGAGGGGGATGTCAGCCCCAGAAAAGTTTACAATACAGCCCCCAAATTATATTCTAAGTCCACAGAAATAAACACACAGACAATGGAACAGAGTGGAGAACCCAGAAAACCCATCCGGGGTTGATCAGTGCAGCAGGGAGGAGCCAGGAGCAAACACGGGGACGCACTTTCATTCAGGGGCGCTGGGCACCCACAGGGATGACCTGACCCCCATGTTCCTCCAGGACCCAAAATGACCCGCGCAGAGCTCTCCACAGCCAGCCCTGGGCCCCCTGACTCACCGCTCTGCATCAGCCACGGGCAGGGAGATGTCCTCGCCTCCCCCTCGCTCTTGGGTGGCTCCTGAAGAAACCGGGTTCCTGCAGGCAAGAACTTCACCAAGTCCGGAGAAGCAAGTGCCAAGGCGGGCCAGCCACTGGGGAGGCGGGAGCCAGTGTTGGGGTGGGGAGGGGCTGCAGGAGCTGGGGCGGGGATGCAGGGGCAGGGCGGGGATGCAGGGGCAGGGGCGGGGCTGCAGGGCAGGGACGGGCTGCAGGGCAGGGGCGGGGCGGCAGGGCAGGGGGGCGCAGGGGGCGGGGGGGCAGGGGAGGCGGCAGGGGCGGGGCGGCAGGGGCGGGTGTATGGAGGGCTCCAGGGCCGGGGGCAAGCGGAAGGCCCCGGGGTGCTCACGGGGCGCCCCCGCCCGTCCCGCCGCGGCTGAAGTTTAGAAAATCCAACGGAAACGAAGCAAAGCGCCCACGTCTCTGAAGGTCTGTGACCCTAAAATTCCACAGCCATGAAAACAGCAGGTCGTGTCCACGTGCATCAAAAACACGCGGGAACACTGACCCTCGGCCACAGAGGGTCCCCCAAACCCGCTGCCCCCCCCACAGTGAGAGAAGGGGCGTCCCGCCCGGCCCCGCCAGCCCCGGCGCCTCCTCACGATTCCTGGCGAGGCCGCACTTCCCCGCCTCGCCACCAGGCGGCGCGCGCTCCCCTCACGCCTGCGCGCTGCCCCGGGGCTTCTCCTTCCTCGGCCCGCGGGCCCGCTCCGCCGGGGCGGGCGCTCCGGCTTCCGCGTCTCTGCCACTTCCGCCCCCGTCGCCGCTCCTGCGTCAGCGTGCAGGAGCGTGACGTCACACGCAGGGGGCGGGCGAGGCCGAGGAAGGAGAGGCTCACGGGGCAAACCAGGGGCGGATCGGCGGCGCGCGCCGCCTGGTGGCGCGGAGAGGAGGCACGGAGGGAGGCGCAGGGGAACAGAGCCGCGGCCGAGGGGCGGGTCGGCCGGGAGAGGGGGACGCAGCCCAGAGAGTCGTGGGGGGGCGGG